AGATGATTGCTTAGGAAATCCTGCTTGGGCAGTCAACTTGCTGTTCCGTATTAGTGGATTCCATACGAGCGACAAAGTTGGGCGGGTAATATCAATCCATGTTTGATTAAACTCACGGTGTGAAGCGTGGCATTGGTAGCTCAAATAGTTAGAGCGTTGGCTTGCGTAGAAGGCCTTCCTTCCTGTGTGGGTTCGAATCCCTACCTTATTATTTGTTTGAATTCTATATTTTATTCCCGCTTTAGCTGACTCTATCTTGCTGATTCTCAGCTTGGGGGCTTTGTTTATAAATGTACTATTTACATATTTCAGATCCCCTCCAATTATAGGACTGTGCCACTTGTCTAAGCACAGTTCTTGTTTCTGAATTCAATTACAAAATACACGAAGTAAAAACAATCCATGTAGGCTGATCTACACCGGCTTAAAGCAGGTACATCTAGTGCACTCGAATAGAAGCTCATACCCGGTTAGTTATTACTGCTTGGAAAGTGCCAGTTGCCTGGCTTTAAAAGTTCACGTGCAGTGTGGAGGTCTTTTTTAGACAGCTGATGTGTGCATCTACAACTGTGTACAAAAAAAGTTTTCTGTCGTCTTGTAAAAGTATAATTTCATGCCAACTTTGGTGGTTTTCTAATTTTTGCAGTCGCCAACACTCTTTCAAATGCATCTGTGAATAGGTTTATGATGCTCAGTAGCTTGTTTACAACACTACGGTCCAGAATGCGTGCAACATTCCGAAGTTTGCAAACTATTGATAAGCACTCGCAAATCGGCATTAACACATGTACGAAAACTTAGAAGTAATAAGTTGAGCTAACTTGAGCTACAAACGCCTCACCTCGCGCCATCAATTTACTCACACTGGTCGATTTTACCCGCCCAACTTTACCGCTCGTATGGAATTCACCAATACGGAATAGCAAGCTGACTGTCCAAGTAGGATTTCCTAAGCAATCATCTAGAATCCATCAGAATGACTACCAGGCCGCGAGTATTTTCACGATTGCGTCAACTAAATTAAGCAAATCTGCCAAACCTAAATAATTAGGTCAGCCTAGTAGTCATTCTGGTGGATTCTAGATGATTACTTAGGAAATCCTGCTTGGGCAGTCAGCTTGCTGTTACGTATTGGTGGATTCAATACGAGCGCTAAGTTGGGCGGGTAAATCGATCCAAGTATGCTTGAACTCACATCCTTAGGCGTGGCAGTTGTAGCCCATCTGGTAGAGTATTGGCTTCGCGTAAAGGCATTCCCTACTATGCGTGTTCAAATCCCGCTGAAGGGCGCGAGTTTTTTCACAATTGGGTCAACTAAATTAAGAAAATCTGCCAAACCTCCTACATAATAGAATCTTCCAGTCTGTGATGGCCCAAATTTGTTTATGCACACCTTTAAAAAGTTGGGCTTCTCGAACACTGTGTGCACTCCGAGCGCTCTTTTTTTCTAGGCATTAAAACATGCAATTCACTACAGTAAACTAAACCTCGGGGCGACAGTCAGAAGGCCTTTCGTCAAAACGATTGCGTGGTTCGAGACATCGCGTTGTGATTTGAGGCCCTTGGAGTTGCACTATCATGGAAAGCTGCACTAACGTCTTTTTTAATTTTAACGGCAATGTCTAATCTCCAAGTCTACCTACGCCGTAATGCAACCCACATCTTGGGTGGTGTTCGAAAAAAGCCCCCCTGTGCTTCAATTCAGTCCTCTGAAATCATGGTGTCTGTATACACTCCTGAATATTCTAATGACACGGTAGGGAGGAACCAGCTTTTTTGATGGCATCCTGCCTTTTTGTACGACAAGTCTCGTCTGAGGCACTTTTATTGTTAGTTGCGTCCTCATTGTGCTCGACTGAAATAGTTCCACTGCACACTCTGAAGTAGCAGCAACATCGTCAAAAGACGTGTTTGGGCTTTTAGCTAGTACGGTATAACGTGTTGGCTTTATAGGAAAGTAAATATATACGTTTACCTGGCAAATCCTTCCCTATTGAGGGATTCTCTGAATTAGTTGATAATCACTCGTGGAGATAGGAAATAAAAGTGGCGCACAAACCGATGGCTACCTTACGCACCTAGCTTGTACACCTTAAGGATAGAGTTGGCTATCTCGACAAGAAAGGATTATTCTATGAGATCCCATGCGAGGCTTGTGATAACGTATATTGTGGCCAAAAAGGAAATGTCGCCTCTACATGCATCCACGAACATCAGTTGGCAGTAAAGAGGTGTGACCATCTGTCCAAGTTACCATGCACAGTCTTAATACAGGATGCACCTTCGTACGGAAGAAAACTCGCACCGTCGGAGTTTGCCCCTCCAAAAGAGGCTGGGAATTTCTTGAGGCCATTTAATCCAATGACTCATGCATAAATTGGCATATCGAGTTAGATGATGTGTACAAAAATCCCTAAAATGGAATAGACGAGAAGCAATCGATCCAAACTGTAGCCAACTGCAGCCGCTTATTTGCGTTCGCATCAAATGAATATTAATTTTTTGGCACATGAAATTTTAATTGTTCTTTGCACATTCACTCCCGTCTGATGACGACCAGGAGAACCAGCTTCGAACATGCGCCCTAATACAATTACTTTGTTTGGCAGGACTGTCCTTAGAGGTCTTTTTTGCCTTTGACTTATAACAATAACCTACTTTTATATTTTCAGTAACCCGACTTTTCTTTTTTTGTTAAATTCCGTCAATTTAGGGTAAAATTTCCTTTTTTCCTTTGAAAATTCCACCAAATATAAGGTTGAATTTCCCCAATTGCTATCAGTAACCTGAGCAACGGGAGTTTTTGTTGATGGATTTGACTCTATTTAGGGCATTGAAACAAATATCATTTTCTTTAATTTAATATTTTTGTTCACTCCCACCACAATTACATCTTCATTTACACTCACTAACCAAGAATAAAATGTTTTATCACGAAAAACGTTAGACAGTTTGTCGGGGGCGGGGGGAATATGCATATTTAAGGGGCTCTACAGGGCAGTTTTGCCCTCTGTTTGCTCAAATACCGTATTTGCCTTCAGAAATATATCTATTAATTAGTCGTGTATCTTTAAGTTCCTGCCAACAAGGTGGTCGAGCACGCGGGATCGGACAACTGCTTCAATGGCTTACTCATCTACGAACGCACGGAGCAGGGCGCCGAAGACGTGGACTCCGCGCAGGAGGAAGAGG